GCTTTAACAAAAGTGAGACTGGAGTACGGTGCTTTTCCTGGAACCGGCTTAATTGCACCGGGACAAGAGGAGAACCAGTTAAACGAGAACGATGTGGATGCAAAAATCACTGAATTTATTGATCTCTTCAAGAGATCTCACGAAACCAGCCCTCGTTAGACGAGGCATTGTGCATCACACTAACACCTAACACACTGAAAATGCAAAGCCTCGTACAAACGCGACTCCGTCAAGGCTAGCATTTTACTGAAGGAGGTTCATTTCTGACGGTGTCTTGTTTTCACTTCGTCTTGAACACAGCCTAGAAACACTATGCTTTTACTGGACTGTCCTGGAGAGCAAGGTATAAAGCACAATATTCCAAAATTTTGGATAGAACATTGCGTGTAGCTCGACTGTTTTGACAGTGAATCGACCATAGATGCTACACTTCCGAACTATCTAAGCCCACGAATTGCAATGGTCATCTCGGTAGTTGACCGCCTTGAGGAACGCAGCTCGAACGGATGTCTTTAACCATAGGTACCAAGGTCGCAGTGTGTCAGGCCCTCCTAGTAGCTTGATTCGTGTACTGCAGAGTAACCTAGATAGCCCATTGATGATGCGTTCAGATGTTTGACCCCCTTCACTTACAGGGTCTATGCAAAACCCTTCGGGCCAACTACATTGTACTGAGGTGACGGGCGTATAAAAAGTTTTAATTTTCTGTTTTTATGCGATGATGACGCTCTATTGCTTTTTATATCACGCGGAAACTACGGAAATTTACGCTATCCCCTCAAGTGCCACTTCCAATGTGGATTCCCCGTAGTTTTCCATTTTCGTAAAATGAGCAAGGCCATCTATGCTGCCAAATGAATTCACTCTAGAAGTGGTATATTTAAGGTTACAAAACCTGACGCAAGCCATCAAGTACACACTACGTGGGATTTGAGAGACTCCCATCTTGCCCTCTAATTTTGCTAACGTTATGCAGTCAAACGCTTAGGTCGAAGCAATTCACTCGTTTAGCACACACTTTTGGAAAAACTCACTTTTGCTGTGGTGAGATAAGACTCCTTAATGTTATCAGCCTGAATGGCACTCGACCGGAATCCAGATTAAGAGTCTGTTTGTACTCCAGAACTGCTGTCCTGGGGCTCGAAAGTCAGAGAATAAATCGCCCCCAGATCCCAAATACTATCTGCATGTAAACAAACCTTAATTATTTGATTACAACAACTTTCAAATTCCCGTGGCGTTTGAAAATGTGGATTGAAAATGTGGCACAGTAAACACCTCAAAACTAAACCGGCAAGGTAAACCTTACAGTTTTCATAAGGTATCAACGTATGAACAGAAATGACTTTTCATCTTGGCCAAGCAATTCGTTTCGCTCTCGAAAATGTATCTCCGAATGCAATGGTTTTCGCTACACATAACGTCCGAAAGTTTACTAGGATTATTAGATTTACACTGAGATCGCAGATGACTGTGGTAGTATGTTCTTGATATTCTCTATCCACCGAAGACCTCAACACTGGTGAACTCCAGGTCTTGTCACTTCTCTCCACATCATTCTATTTGTGATTCCGGCTCTCATTTCACGAGATCCACGTCGGCAGCTTTCAGAGCTCTCACAAACAACCGTTCAAATAATGGTCCATGCATAATCGATCGAACAGTCCGGTAAATCAGGCGTCACAAACCCCAGGGACTCTAATGCTAGTAGCTTTAATAATTTCGGCCCCAGATACTTCCATTTTTTCGTTTGAAGCACTTGCTCTCAAGGAGCAGACTTCTGGGGGGTAAAGTACAATGTTCATTGCAAAAAACGTTTTGGGTGATAGATTTGTCTATTTGTCTTGAATAAGTACACCATAACGTTCAAAGTGGGAATGATAAGAACCACCATGAAGCCATGGATGTACAACCTACTTTCATAGGCAACCGCAAGTTTCACGAACTAGTCAACTAGTTCTCTCCATGTCAGAATCTAGTGACATGATGGACGGTCGTAATACAATAGATGTTTTGCTTTTTTTTAAAAAAAAATACACGAGCTTGGGAGTAGTAAGGAAGATACTTGTCCGGATAACTCCAAGTACTGATTAAGGAGCCCAGATGGCCGACAAAACCGGCCGGTGACAAGCAAACGACTGAGCTGATTTAAAAATGCTACGAAACAAGTTCATACACACGTTTTAATTTGCTGTGCTCTTCATGTCTCAATCTGCTTTTCACATTACGATTTCCTAAAGGAAACTACTCATAGGGTTGCTGAAAACTCTTCGACAGCCCACAACCGGTTTCGCCCTTCTTGGGGCTCATCAGGTAGGCGCAGTCCCCGAGTTTCCATCAACCTTACGTTCCACTTGAACCCAAATTGGACTGTTTTTGAGAAATACACTCATTTGCAAATCAATTTGATTTTCACGAGAGACTCAACTGAATCTCTCGTTTATGATATTCTTCAACTGAGTGTGCTGAAACATGAGGCGGCCTGTGTGCAGTACATTCAGTTGTAGAATATCATAAACGAGAGATTCAGTTGAGTCTCTCGTGAAAACCAATTGATTTGCAAATGAGTGTGTTTCTCGAAAACTTAACTTTCTTTCTTTGAGAACACTTTTCAAAAGCTACGGATGACCATATGATGATCACCCAAGCTCTGTTGACTTGGGAACGGGGGTACTGGACGGAAAATACACAGAAAAACAGTATGTCCATCGATCACACAAATATCATATCAGTAAACGAGTCAGGTTGTATATTTTGGCCATGGCAGTGGTTTACAGTGATCTTAAGCTTTTCAGTCGATCGTTTCGCATGGAAGTAGTCTCTCAGCCTTTGAATCATCTTTGTCACTTGACCCGTCCAGACTTGCTGTGCAGGTCCAGGTCAGTCGTTTTTCTGTGCTTCAAGTCACATTCTGGCGTATATTATCAGTAAGTCTCTGTCTACCTGAGTAGACACCCCTGCTAGGGTAAAAACAAGGGCCTGTATTTTGGTTAGGATCAGAACTCAGCACTGTTCATTGTGTTGGTGAGTCAGAGTTGATCAAAAGCTGGCGGTCGCCTCGTACGAACACACCACGTGCGCTATTCTGGTTCTGACGGTTCAACGTCGTTTTTTTTTATTCTCCGGTTTTTACGCACACAAACAAATGTCCAAACGCATGTGAGTGATTTGTGCGCTATGGAAGAGGTAGTGACACGCGAAGCTAGGTCGTTCCATCGATCGGATCAAGTCAAGCGTCTGATCAACAGTTGAATAGCATGACAGTTGCTCTGTTTTTCCTTCATTCCTACACACAAAACTAGCAATGTGCACGCGATCCAAACAGGATAGGAACCACAAATTGAATTAGTCACCCATCCGCGAGCCGGTCGAAAACCTGACTGAACAGGTTAGTGTGCCGGCAGTTTGAATGTTTAGGAGTCTGGATACCAGGAGACCCGTGCAAACATGATGGAGAGGTCGGTTCATGAGCGCCTGGCGGTGCGTCATTGCTTGCTGTGCTAGGCTACGGTAGGCTCAGATCAGATCTGAGATATGACATTGACAACAGTGCTTTGCTCTTCTCTACTTGGTAGCTGTAAATCACGTATCTACTGTGGCAGGACTATGCAGAAGACAATCATGTCCTGTTTGAGATAGTCTGATCTGTTTTTGTCGTGAACCAGAGTGCTGATTTAGCTGGCTGACGAGCTTCTCCCTGGTGGATTGAAGTGAACTGACGCTGATTTACTACAGCATGCTCGGAAATGGACATTCAATTTCCATGAGTCACTCAATTTGCATGGTCCGCGACTCTACGAAACCCGAACATTTCCGTTGGGTATCCAAGTGCCCAATCGACGCGTTCCGTACCCAAAGAACATTGGCACACATGTTCTGAGCAAATGAATTCATTCCAATCTCTTCCCCTGTTCCCCATCCCTCGTCCCTCATCCCAGTGTATGTGGTCACATGATCATGTGATCAAGATGGTCGATCGTGGATGTTGCTCACCCACTGAGGTTACCATCACTGTCAGGGGAACTGGACCCGCGTGAGATGTTCCATTATCTCCAAGCCGATTGGGCATCCATGCTAGCATGTTGTGCTGTTCGAATGTGCTGGAAGATCGTCATGTAGTACGACATTCAGGGCACCTTATCTACTCCTAGAATAATGGGAGAACAGAAGACACTGCTGAACGAATCACTGGTGAACATTTGAATGGTCTCTTCATTGGTATATTTTCTTCCGTAACTTCCTCCGGCCATTTTACATAAGCACGCCTTGCCTCACCTCTAAACGAGTTGCTCCGAACCTAAGTTGCTGTGGTCGTAGCGAGCAAGATGGTGGTTTTTAAAGGTCCGGATGTTCCTAGCTTAAGTGTGACTCAGAGGTTTAGAGATGATTCGTCATACGTTTCTCGTAACAGTCTGAGCCAAACAGACATGCGGCGGAATTCATTAATTGCGTCGGTACTGAGAAGTTGGTATACTAGGAGATCACACAATCCACTTAGGGCTACAGAAACTGTCTAATAAAAGTATTAAAAAAATCAACTCATATCCGACAACAATTCATTTCGTCTACCACAATCAGTGTAAAGTTATTTCGGATGAAAATGACGACCCAACATCCAGTCGGTTAGTAGACTGATACGCAATCCGTTATCATCCATCGTACGTGACAATCTTATATTGTACCAACACTGATAAGACAACGGCAACAGCAAAAGCGACAAAAACAACAAATTTATGAAACTCTCCATTCAAGAAGAAAACCTCAGGCGTTAGTCACTAGTGGACGTATAACCTTGTTCATAACCCCAATTCAAGGTTAATAATTCCCCCGATCTGAAAAACATGAGATTCTAGCAACAGTCTTCCTGGTCTGCAACAGGGAAATTATTCAGCAAAAGGCTACAAGGCAATATTGCCATGTGAATAAATTACACTGGTTTATCTCCCATTAGGCATGGTCAAGAAAATGCTCTAAATTTTTTTCGTGTTTTCAATCTGCAGGTAGTTGCGATGATGTTGGATTCGTATTCACGTGTTCAACGACTGAGTAGTCCCCCTAACAAACATAACTCGCTTTTCCTAATCAGCAACTTGCGGGCACTGCAACTAGAGTTCACCAAAGCGACCATGTGTAGTACGGAACTACCAAGTGATCTCCGTACACTACCCTCTGAACTCTCTTCGACTCTTCGGACAACTGGGTAAGCCAAGAATTTCTCAATCCTTGAGCAAGGTCTGCCAGTCTTCAAGTTAACACACAAGCGTTGCCTGGTAGCCCATTGACCTGACAGTTATCAGCAGTACCTCTAGGAGCGGATAACGTGCCCTGAATGTCGTACTACATGATGATCTGTCCAGCACATCGAACAGCACGACATGCTAGCATGGATGCCCAATTGGCTTGGAGATAATGGAACATCTCACGTGGGTCCAGTTCCCCTGACAGTGATGGTAACCTCAGTGGGTGGTCAACATTCACGATCGACCATCTTGGCTACATGATCATGTGACCGCACACATTGGGATGAGGGATGATGGACGAGGGAAGAGATTGGAATGAGTTAATTTGCTCAGAACACGTATGCGTATGTTCTCTGGGGAATGGAATGCGTCATCTGGGTGTTCTGATACCTGAGAGAAATGCTCGGGTTTCATAGAGTCGCGCACTGTGCAGCAGATAGAGTGAGCACATTAGCCGACTTGTGGAAATTAGATTGTTCGGTCACTTGCTTCATTTCCTCAAGCAGCATCCACTCGATGGGTATGCACTGAAGAGCCTAGTTTTGATGGAGACACCATTGTGGTCTATTTGGTTCATGCCTTTTGGTTCACCCCTTTCAGGATAGTGCACCCAGAACATGTGGTTTCAAAGATTGAATGAATTTCTGCTAATTTTATGAAGCGTCAATCTTGGAAGCGATTCTAACTCACACACTGATGGAAGAAAAGGCTCTTTAAAGCAGATGCTTCTCTGATATGGAAAATGTTTGGTCTGACCACCATAAGCTATTGCGTGAAGCCAGCTTGTGAGTGACCTGTCCCTCTTGAAAGGCGTTGCTGCTCCGACCATATGTGGATAATGGCTGGATACATCAGCGACGAAAACTTGATAACTCCTTTCTTATTTGTAAGGCAGTTTGGAATTGTGCGTGCTCTACCCTTGTGTAGGCAACTAGGACTCTATCACTGGGGTGGCGCATACTCTGGTCACCGAGGTATTACCACTCTTTCTTACCGTAGAATAATTTCAGGTCTAAATTTGATAATCTTGAGTCCACCGTCATTTGAAGTTGGGAATGGACAATCGCATCAACCGACTTTTTCTGTCGCCATTCCACTTGTTGTGTCCCAGTACTGTTACTCTACAAAGACAAAAAATTTGATAAAACGATTCTTACGCGCACAATAGCTGTCCCCTTCCCCACCGTGACGGCTGTATGAGACGAGCACCTATCGCTAGGCCAAGAAATCTTTGAAGTAATCCTAACCTAGCATGATGATGTCCTAGTTACACCCGCTAATAAATGATTCAGCTACGATTTTAGCTCCCGAAGAGCTTCGTGTATCCCTACCTACCTTACACATTTTCAGCTCTACTGTTCGGAGCTGTCGCGTGTACCGTAGTCTCTGTACAGCTTTCATAATCTTACGCTAGTTTATCTCAGAGGAGAGGCAGAATTGAAGCCATTGGCGCGTGTCCAATTGTCCTGACTTGTCACCTCAAGCTAATGGTGATAATCACACCTTTCAAAACGAAGTTGGCGAAGACACTGACATCCCTCTCCACCACTGATTGTTTAAAACAATGGGAAACAGTAGAACTCTGTGTAGAAATCAGAAAGGTGTGAAAAACCTCTGCTTGAACCAATGTGTTGTCAATGAATGAGCATCCTATTGTCGTAGATCTGACTAACTTGCTAACCCCTACCCATGCTCCCTCTTCAATCCACTCATTCCCACTGTTGGCCCGATAAATTTTCACACTTTCCTTACTTCCAGCTTCACGAGGTTTGATTTTTTTCCATAGCATTGGCTGTTATCTCTCATACTTGCTGTCATGATGATAAGCTATAGAATGCGATTTTAAGTAATTGCACTCACTAAAACAATGCTGGTTCTAGCCGTTATCGCCCACGACACCTCTCTGAAACTAGGTGACCTTAGTTTAAGTCTAAGCTATGGTCGAAGCCCTAAAAGCTGAACCGCACCAGACGTCATGTGTCCTAATTGGGAGACATGAAGGAAACTTGGACCGG